GCCTGGCAAGGGGAAGTACACACGAGTAATGTAAATACTGACCTGGAAAAGTCTGGTTTATGTTTTAAAGTTGTGAGCAGCCAGTCTTCTAATACCGCTCTCCACACTCGACAAGACGCAGATTAAACAACGCTGTAAGCAAGCTATTAATAAGAAATTATGTAGCTTGGACCAGTTCCTTTCCGTCTTTTGTTTTCGACTAAACCTGTCTGTCTAGGTGAAAGCAAAAATGAAAGCATGCCAGACAAGGAGAAATCAACCATAACGTTCTACTTGGCACTTTAATTTGCATTATACGCCTTAATCGCACACTAATCATGAAAACATGCATTTGAATTTAAAGCTCCGTCTGACTGGAACAGTTTGCTGTTGTCTATTCGCTCTCTAACTTCTCTGCCTCTGTTTAAATCTGCTCTGCTACAATATCTCCAGAATTTATGTCAATGTTTTTGATCTTAGGTTATGAGACCTTAACTTGTCTTTACTGTCTCCTTATTATTATTACTAATATACTATTAATATTATCCTTATTTAGTGTGTGTGTGTGTGTGTGTGTGTGTGTGTGTGTGTGTGTGGATTTGATTTGCTGTATCTGTCACCTTGTGGATATCTTGAGCACTTTAAATGAAGTAGTTTGTCCTGAAGGGAGAAAAAAACAGTGTTAATTCATTCATTCTTAATTGGGAAGGTCCAATAGTTTATACAGTTCTTATATTCTTTTATTATGTTTAAAGTATATATGTGTGGGATTAAAGTAATGTCCAGCGCTTTAGTGAAATATTTCTTAACATGTGAAACTTACCTCTTGTGTCCAGGTGTCAAACTCCTTTTTCTTTGCCTTTTACTGGAGGACGACAACTAAGAGAGGGTGCATTTACCGCCACCTACTTTGCTGGGGTGTGATGGGCATTGAGCTGTTTCCATGGATCTATTATGATAATATCTGCATAGGGTATTACAAGCTTATAGCTGTCCCGCCCACGGGCACAGGGGGCGCCCATGGTACTGCAGACTAAACTCACGAGGGCTACCCAGAAACATATCCCATGGAACTCAATGTAAACTAAAACAGTTTGACCTCAGCTGACAGAGAACCTACAGCTTTCATAAAGGTCATATTTTGTGGGGACTTTAGTGTCCCTTGTCCTTCTGAACTTTTTCTGGGAGGACCAGACGATGCCCAAATATAGGTGAGTTCCGTTAATCTGCGCTACTTGGATCTACTTGGGTGTTTCTTATATGAAATAAAATCAGATTTAAAAAGTAATGCATTCCATGAAAGACAAATAAAAGTTATTTTTGTACATTGTTGTAAATATCAGATTCTGATTATTGATAGGTGTGGCCAAAACATTCTGAGGCTAATAATAATTTAACTACTTGAGTATTTATCAAGCCCTGACGATCATGCTCAGTGGTGCATGAAGCTTCCATGGGCACTGAAAGATTAGCGGAGCCCACCCATAGTTTGTCATGTGTCTGGTCCTCCTGGTTTTGGGCAGTGGACAAATCTCCCATGATGCTTTCAGCATTTTGACCAATCAGGCGCTGCTGATCAGAGCGGAGTTAGAGAGTTCAAAGGAATTGAAAAGCATAGCGGCTTAAAGTCCAGCAATCACGGTATTATACATAAATTATTCTTTACATTTGCAGAATGTGATTGGCCCATGCTTCTTTAATACCAGACTACATTTCATATACTTAAAAAGAATTTTTTGAAATGCTTTATTGCTTTAGTAAATTGAAACTTTTGAGCATTGTCCCATAATGCATCATAAGGCTGAAAATATACGTACATGTACATAGAAAGATTTTAATATAGTATATATGTAATATATTTATATAAAAACAATAAAATATAATACAATGAATACTATGCCAAATGTAAATATGCCTCAGGTAATTATAGACCTATAGCTCTAGCTAATATTTTATCCAAAGTTGTGGAACTAATTCTCCTAGAGAGGATTAATGAACTGATTATATCTACAGATAATCAGTTTGTGTCATGTGGTGAGATGATGGAGGACTCAAAATGCAGGAATGAAAATATGATTTATTAATGAAAAAACAAAAGTCCAAGGAAACAAAACATCCAAAAACGAGACCAGGAACAAAGGCACGAACAAAGACAACACAATGGACCAGCAACAAGGGGAGAGAAGCACAGGGTACATATAGACACAGACACAGGTGAAACACATCAGGGCGGGGCAGACAATCAAGACAGGGGCAAACAGGACAGGAAGTACGACTAAAACCAAACCACATAGAACGATGTCAAAATAAAACTAAAATACAAAAATAAAACCCACACCATGACAGTTTGGTTTTAAACCAAAGCACTGACATGTGCATTCATGACCTAAAGGAACTTTTAAACAACTATAGGAGCAACAACTTAACTGTTTTTAGGTTTCTTGGATGCGTCTAAGGCTTTTGACTGAGTGAATCATTGGAAACTGCTCAAGAAATTGGCTGCAGCAGGTGTTCCTCAACACATTGTCAGAATCCTGTCATATTGGTATGCCCAACAGACCATGCAAGTGAAATGGGACAGCTGTTTGTCTGCTCCCTTTCATGTGAGTAATGGAGTAAGACAAGGGAGCATCTTATCCCCCATTTTATTTATTTTTTAAATTAATGAATTATCTCATAATCTTAACATATGTAAAACTGGCTGCATGGTCGGCAGCACAATGCTGAACCATCTAGTGTATGCAGATGATTGTGTCATTTTTAGTCCAAGCTCAGATGGTCTGCAGCAACTTCTTAATATATGTTCAGTGTTTGGGGATAATCATGATGTAAAGTTCAATGATTCCAAAAGTGCCATTATGATCTGCAGAACCACAGAGGACAGACATTAAACCTTTCCTGTGTTTCGACTCGCTGGTAAGGTTCTTCATATCTGTAGTGAAATGAAATATCTTGGCCATCTGATCACAGATCGGCTGACAGATGATGAGGACATTATTCGTCAGTATCGTTTGTTGTATGTAAGGGCGAATGCTTTGGTACGTAAATTTGGTTTCTGCACTGTTGATGTGAAGGTGACCTTATTCAAAGCCTACTGCTCTCCTTTATACTCTGCAGATCTATGGCTGAACTACAAAAAAGCTACTCTTTAGAAACTGCAGGTAGTTATTTATTTATTTTTTGGTCTTGTGGTTGTCCTTGTGTTGTTTTTTTTATGGACCTTGAGTCTGGAATAAAGATTATATATATATGCCATTTTATGGTCTATGCAAATCTACATCTGTAGACCCCCTGGCAAGTTTTTCTTTTTAAAAGTTTTCTTTTAAAACACCTACACTTTTTACAAACTGTACATAAGAAGATATGACAAGGGACAGAACAGGAACAATCAATCAACGTTTATTTGTAGAGCGCCTTTCCTACACACGGCAACGCAAAGCGCCTCACAACCCACATAACATCATACATGAATCCTCAAACATTAGAATCTACATGAACATACAAAAACACCTTAAGATATCTTAAAAACTTAAAAAATAAAATCACACAAGTAGTTAAAAACATTAAAATCACACATGGGATTAAAATCATAAATGGCCATAGTGCATTAAAAATATTAAAGATAAAAACAAAGATAAAATCCTTCAGTTGTATGGACAGCTAAACAGAGCTGTTTTCAGCCTAGATTTGACAACTGCCAGAGTAGACGCCTGTCTCACATTCTCAGGCAGACTGTTCCAGACTCTAGTTGCATGAATCTGAAACGCAGCCTCCTATGTCTAGTTCTGACTCTTAGCACCAGCAGAAGTCCATTCCCTGTGCTCCTCAGAGTCTGGGTCGGCTCATATGGCACCAACATGTCGTGGATGTACAAGGTCGTGCAAGGTCATGGAGAGACTTGTACACAAGCAGAGCTGTTTTAAAGTATATTCTCCGAGCCACAGGAAGCCAGTGCAGAGACCTGAGGACCGGACTAATGTGGTCGTTCTTCCTGGTTCTAGTCAGGACTCGAGCTGCTGCATTTTGAATGTACTGCAGCTGTTTTACAGCCTGTTTGGACAGACCTGTGAGCAGGCCATTGCAGTAGTCTAACCTACTGGAGACAAATGCATGGATAAGAATCTCCAAGTCTGCTTTAGACACTATGTTTTTGATCCTGGCAATGTTTTTTAGATGGTAATAAGCTGCTGATGGTACTGATTTTATGTGGCTTTTGAAATTTAAGTCTGAGTCCATTATTACTCCTAGATTTCTGACCTGATTTGAGGGTTTTAGGGAGAGAGACTGGAGGTGACAAATGGCGCTCTCTTTTTGTTTTGAACAACAAAAATTCCTATAAGTTATATATAACGCTTTCCAAATGGATCAAGGCAAAATGTGCTTTTTTCCAGTTGTTATTGGAATGTTGTTGAAGTTATAATATTAGTAAATCCCATGTGGCTAAAATATAAACTGTATAATTGTAATCCACTGACTCCAGAATGCTTGGGGGTTGTATGCTAATGCCAGGAGGAAGCAGGTTTTGATGCTAATGTTGAAGGCTCACTGTCCTTTAAGTGTTGGTTTCCTCCTTTCCTATTCTGCATATATGAAGGTGTGTCTTGTTCTACCAAAAGGGGCTTGCAGACTCTCTGGGCTTGAGATCTGGTCCTGAGAGAGGCTGGGCTTTGTGCCCTGTCTCTCCCAAGACAATTTCTCCTTGTGACAATGTAACAAGTATAAGATTAACGTTGTCTGTTTGTTGTTTGAGATTTTGTCAGGTTCAACTGTGGTTAAAACAGCATTATAACCAGTATATCCTTGATCTTCATATCCAAGATACTTCAAAAGTCAAAATGCTTCTGCCTGCTTCATCTCTGACACACATGGATCATGAGCAAATATTAAGCACATTTTAAATCTCAGCATTGATCCAAGAACAATGCTATAAACCAAGTGGCAGTGTGCAGACTTTATATCCTTTAAGAATGACCTTTTGAAAGTCCATTTCTCTTAAAGATCAGACATTACTTATCACCAAGTCACCAAGGCCTGTTCAAATACACAGTCGCCACCCCTGTGTTCGTGAGCACCTGAGGCTGAGGCCGGGGTACCGTCACTATGACCTGCTGTGGGGCCATGGCCTGACTGTAAACATGAGTATTGGGAAACACACTCTGGGGCCGAGGGGCTACTGGCCCATAAAAGACGGGGCGAACAGGAGCAGGCACTGTGACCACTCGGGGGGGCATGGCGCATGGGATAGTGGTGTTCATCGCCGGGACCATGAGAGCGTTGGGGTTGTAGGCAGGTGGTCGTTGGGCTGGAGGGTATGGCGGATTTGGAGCATTTGTTACTGTGATAGCTGGGACCGATCCAGGCATATTTGATGTTAAGCTTGTTGTAGAAAAGACATTCTGTGGGGGATATGGCATGGTGGGGCTGGTGGGCAGAGGTGATGGCATGGTGGGGTAGGTGGGCAGAGGTGATGGCATGGTGGGGTAGGTGGGCAGAGGTGATGGCATGGTGGGGCTGGTGGGCAGTGGTGATGGCATGGTGGGGCTGGTGGGCAGTGGTGATGGCCCGCATGAGTTGGAGAATCCTATAGGAAAAGGCTGTGTGGGATGGGCTGGTTCATTCTTCCCAGAAACTGCTTTCCACACATCGTCTAACTTTTCATAATTCTCTATGTGTATTGCTCCTGTCAGGATCTCGAAGCTGTCATCCAGTCTCTCATTGATTTTCTGAAACTTGCCCTCGTGTGTGCTGCTGAAGACAAAGCTCTTGACTGTGTTGCAATTGTGGAACTTCTGCATGATGTTCTCTGCGTTGGCAAGAGTGGCAGACAGTTCCTTCAAAGCGTTACGGACCACTTCTGAAATCTGCCTGGGGTCCATGTCATTCAGTTTGGCAAGCAGCGGCAGCAGCGATTGGACGCGCTTGGCCACGCGCTTACAACGCTCTTTGTTGGCTTTCATGTTCTTTACCATCGACACCACCTTCTTGGCCATGTCCATGATCAGGTCGAGTGCAATGTCCTCCATTATCTCCTCCATTATCTCCATTTTTGATCTGCAAACAGGGTTTTGTTCAAATTCAATTCAATATGTTTTTGTACAGCCTGGTAAGGGGCTGGTGCTCTGTGTACTGGGTGGCATCTGTGACTGCCACCCCCCGACCCAGAAATGGATAAAGGGGAAGAAAATGAATGGATGGAGGGTTGTACAGCCCTAAATCACAACAGAAATCTTGTTAGGGTTTGTATATTGGACCCCAAAGCAGACTTTGACACTGAGAGTAGCTCCAGAAAAAGTAACGTTTATTTTACAAAAAAAAAGGTTGGGCGGTGAAGACAGGAGACAGGCTGGCAGGTCAAAAAGGCGAACCTGAACACAGAAGTAAAAGTTATGAGTCAAAAGGACAAAATAACATGAGCTGGACAAAAACCACTGACAAGTACTGACGTGAGACATAGAATAATCTGGCAGCGAAGTGGAGTGGAAGCCAGGCTCTTGAACACTGCTGATGATGATGTGGTGTTCCGGAGGGAGTGGTGGATATTATTTAACTGGATCCACATTACATTTAAAATAAAGGACGTAGGTCCGTTGTGATAACACAGAGGCTGATACAGGTTACAAAAATATGTACATTTATTAACAAGTTTGTTCAGGTCACTGTAACATGATTCTGGTCACTGCAACATGATTCTGGTCACTGCAACATGATTCTGGTCACTGCAACATGATTCTGGTCACTGCAACATGATTCTGGTCACTGCAACATGATTCTGGTCACTGTAACATGATTCTGGTCACTGCAACATGATTCTGGTCACTAACATGATTCTGGTCACTAACATGATTCTGGTCACTGTAACATGATTCTGGTCAATGGAATCTGGGTAAGGCAAGGCGGCGACAGTGCACCGCATGGCTCCATGGCATCAATCTAAAAGTACATGTATCTAAATAAATATAATGACTCAAATTGTTCTATAACCTATAAGTTCTGCTACAAACCTGGGTTAGCGCGGTAGCCGCTCACACACATGAGCTGGGTTGACAGCCAGCACCGCGGGCGGTAATTACACGGCAACACAAGTGGACCCATGGCAGCAGCACTGAACCACAATATTTAACACTCAGTGCTTCATAAAACAAATATCTCACATTTAACTTTCGGATACTACCTGAGAGCGGGAACAGCGACGTAAACACCGCAACCGGAAGCAGGAGAGTGAGGTCAGAGGACGAGTGAAAGAAGACGCGTACCTTTTATTGGGTGATTGACGGGACGAACAACCAATAGAAAATGAGGACGAGAGAAAGTGGCATAGAGCCCGCCTGCAGGCTGTAATGCCACAATGAGTTGATGCAGGTGTGCCTCCTTCTACTGGAAGATGAACCAGCCACGCCCCCTGTCACACACACCCTGCAGAGAAAACAAAAGGGAGGGGGGAGCAGAACAACCAGATCCCTAACAAATCTTTTGTTTACAATTCTACAAGTCTAGAGACAACTGCTGTTGTGATTTAGGGCTATACTAGCCTAGCCTCAGCCATCTGTAAACTCTGGTCAGTTATCATTTCCCTACATGAACGTCTGGGTCTGATCCTAGTGTCTGTAGCTAGCGGGGCTGACGTCAAGAGTTTGAGCCAAGTTTTCTGATTTTTATTGGCGATGACTAGGAATGCGATAGAGAAGTAATCCGTTCTGGTTCGGCTCCAAATATCAAGAAATTGAAGCCGGAGCAAGAAGGATGTTTAGCAAATGTTGCCAACTACTCCCCTCGGGCTCAGTTAGTCGCAAACAAGATGCCTAAAGCATCCTAAAAACATCTCACTTTAATAAATACTGTGTTTCATAAAGTCATATGTGTCAGATCTTATCTGCGGTGAAATCAGACACATCGGTGTTGTATGTGACGTGGAACACGTTTGCTGCGTCATTTACTAGATCCAAGGGTGTCCCATTTCTTAATGAAGAATATCCTGTAAAGTGTATTAGTTTTTGCTCTTTGGTAGAAGACTAAAAAATTAAAAATGTAGGGGGCGCTGTTATGTACAACATTAAATGCCACCATTTGCACATACAAAGTCCGATATTGGCACAAAATTTGAATTGATTGTTCAACTCCTCTGGTTTGGGTACAACTGAAAGTGGGTTTAATGACGATATTGCAGACATAGCTGCCCCCCTACAGGACGGAGTACAAGTGTTACATGGGAGAGAATCCAGTGTACCTTTTCGAATTAGACACACACAATCACTAATCCATAGGATTCTAAACACACAGTGTCGCTCCCATCAGGGCTGCAGTGGGAAAGGTGGCGCTGTCAGCGCCACCCTCCTTTGCGCTTGGTGCGGCGAGGCCGTTCGATCCGCTTGCGGCTTTAATTATACATTGATAGTTTGTTATTATTAGGCCCCGACCCCAACCAGGGGTAAGGGGGCCTATTGCTTTTTCCAACGAGTAATGCCTGGCTTTGCGCCCAGGCATCACACGTTTGAACTGTCATAGTTAAGGGGGGTTCCTTCAACTGCTTAACGGACGAATTGTCCGGGCAAAGCCCAGACATTCGTCTCCCAAGCCCGACGCGCGTGCCCAGACACTGATAAAACGTGCCTATGAGGCACTGATGGCTTTGCTACCTGCTGTAAGGACACAGTGTAATGGAAAATGGGGTCCTATGGGGGGGGTAGGGGTGACCGCATGATGGCGAGGTGAATGGTCAGCGCTGGGGGCGTCCGCGCGCGTTCATATCACCGTGTTCCCACATAGTTGCGTTACGCCATGGTCGACCAGCCGGGTCCAGACCAGGACCAGGGGCCAGACCAGTCCCAGATCTGTGACGTCATCGGACCCTTTGATAGAAACTGCTGGGAGGAGATTGGCAGTCAGTTAGCGCAGGGGAAGAGGAGAGGGACATATTAGTTTTAGGAGCACTTTTTTTGTTGAATATTCTGTATCTGATTGTAAAGATAATTAAATGCAGATGTTAAACGTGAAGATCTCTTGTCTCGCTCTTGCATCGACTTTGGATACGTCAGTCAAAGGGAATTATTGACTTCATTTTGGTGAATCCCGACGTGATCGGGGCAGGAGCGGGACAGAGATGAGCTCAGTTATAGAGACTGGATTTGTGGGTTTGGAAAAATCTCTCTGCTCTTCAAAAAGGTCGCTTCTAAGGTAAGCGGATCACAGTTTTGGAAATCTGCACATTGTTTTAAATAGAAGAGAGAGAGATTTTGGCTCGACAGATTGCAGCGTGGCCAGACGACCGCCGTGACGGGGCGTTCTATCGGACGCAATAGAACAATAGTCAGGTTTAGACGTTTTAACCTTGGGGGAAGCATGGGTCCCTCCAAAAAAAACAGAACAGATGATGAAAAGAGCCACAGGGGTATAAGTGCAAAAGAGGCACAAGCATATTAGTGAAAAAATAGGAATAGAATTAGAGAAATAGGGATAGTTAGGGTCAGAAGTGATAGGATAATAAAAACTCCATATCCCCCGGGGGGCGGGAAAAAAAAAGGGTACATTTAAACAGAAAAAAGCCAAGTATTTAAAATGTGGATTCTGATAATAATGATCTGATTAATGAGAAAAAAGGGAGCCACTTGGCTGTAACTATGAGTTTTCATGTGAAGAAATGACAAAAGATCAGTCTGGGAGTTTTTCTCTTGTATTGGGATGTAATGTTTCGATAGTTACAGAGAATCAGGGGAAAAAAAACAAAAAAGATTCTGCTGGAACTCTCGATACATTAATCATGTAGCAAATGGTAATGTTTTCCATTACTGACGTATTTAAGGATAAAATGTAAAGTGTCGTTTGACGTGAGAAAAACTTTTACCACTGATTAAGACCATATCACGATAAAAACGAGGAAAATGTAGCAAAGAAGGGGTGTATTTCAATCATCCATGTGTTCCTTTGTTCGAGTAGCCCCTCCCCTCCCTCGTTCTGTCTCTCTCTCTCTCTCTCTCTCTCCCCTTCCTCCTCTCTCTCTCTCTCTCTCTCTCTCTCTCTCTCTCGTGAAGAAAGAATTTTTTGTAGAAAATTACATATATACACACGATAATGTTACTGACATGGAGTCATAGGATCACAGAACTTTGAGTTAGATTATAAAGAGGCATTATTTTATTTTTATTTTTTATCTGGACAAGTTTTTTTTCCCTACATTTTGGTGATATAAAAGTTAGAATGATCTTAGAGAGCATTATACTTTTGGAAAAAGTAGGGCTTAGGATAGCAGTTGAATGCAGAATTGGTTTTCAGAATTTAATGTTTAAAATGTTAATATTAATTATTTCATAGGTTTATTTTGAATTGTAATTAATCATTGGTTTCGTATGGTAATTAACACACTTGTTTGTGCTTCTTGTTTGTCTGTTTTTTCCGAGAAAACTTCTGTCTGTCTCATTTGGCCAAAATCGTCTGCCACAAGACCTCAATCGGGCGCCATCAGCACGGACCATCTGCGTCTCCCCCGTTTCACCCACAGGGGGCAGCAAAGACAGCAGCATCGGCTGCAGCAGCTAACAGGAACTCTCGAAGAAGACCTCTCCGGCCTCCATTTCATGGAGAAGAACCAGACTTTTGCACAAACCGAGTGGAGTTATGTGCACGGAGAAGAACGTTGTGTAAACCTAACAAGAAGAAGAAGGACACACACTGAGACAAAGAAAGACATGAGAAAGTGATTGAAAGAAGAAAGAAGGTGATTATTGAAAGAAGAAGAAAGAAAGTGATTGTTTAAAGAAGAAGGAAAAAGACATGGAGACAAAGACATTGGACACTTTGAGACAAAAGACATTGAAAGACGCCATGAGTAAAAGAAAGACATTAACGGACATTTGAGACGTGGCTGGCCTAAAATGAGACACACAGAAGGTAAATATACAGACAGGCAACAAACGCACAGAGACATATTAAGTCATATTTACATATTTAGGTCATTCGTTCATAACACCACATTTAGCTGCATGAAAGAATACAGGACAATCGTTAAAATTAATTAGACTCTTGCTTTAGCATGAGACACAAGGAGATTAGA